CTGGCGACACGCCCATCAGCTTACTCATAGGTCTCCTTGAGCTCTCGCCAGCGCGCCGCGGCGGCGGCGGGCCCGCCGCCGCCGTCGAGGGTCGCGGAGAGGAAGGGCGCGCCGTCGACGTTGGAGAAGAAGACGCTCAGCGCGGCGTCGCCGTCGGGCGCGCGCCGGTCGTCGAAGGACACGTCGCGGCAGCGGGCGGCGTCGATGACGATCTCGGCGCCGTTGGCGCAGCGGAGGGCGACGAGGTCCCGTCCCGACGCGGGCTTGTTCGCGGCATAGGCCGTGAAGACGCCCGAGAGCGACATCATCGCGTCGTCGGACCGGAGCGAGAGCTTCGTCGGGCCGAGGCGGCCGTCGAAGATGTCCGCCAGGCGCAGCGCGCCCGGCGACACCTCGGGCAGCGGCGCGGCGGCGGGGACGGGAGGCAGGGGGCTCTCCTCGGGCACCGGCGCGGCGGCGGGAGGCGGCGGCAGGGGGCTCGGCGACACCTGCAGGCCCTGCACGCGGCTCGCGGCGGCCGGGGGCGGAGGCAGGGGGCTCGCGGCGGCGGGGGCCGGAGGCAGGGGATTCTCCGGCGGCGCGGCCTCGGCGACCTTGTCCGCGAGGTCGCCCATGACCTGCTTGAGCTCGCCGAGCTTCTTCTGCCGGCCCGCGGTGGCGATGATGTTCGACGCCCACTGCTTCTGGAACTCGACGGGCGACATGCTCTTGAGCGGCTTCGCGTTCGGCGCCGCGGGCGGCGCGCCGCCCGACGTCACGGACGCCCACGCGGGCTCGGCGCTGGGCGCCTCGGGCACGAGCACGCGCGAGCCCTCCGGCGGCGGCGGCGGGCCGGGGCCCATCTGGGGCGCGACCGGCACGCGTTGCGCCTGCACGGGGGCGGTCGCCTCCATCTGCGGCGCGACCGGGACGCGCTCGGTCTGCACGGGGACGGTCTCCTCGAGCTGGGGCGCGACGGGGACGCGCTCGGTCTGCACGGGGACGGTCTGATCCAGCTGGGGCGCGACCGGGACGCGCTCCGTCTGCACGGGGACGGTCTGATCCAGCTGGGGCGCGACCGGGACGCGCCGCGCCTGCTCGACGCGGGCCTGCTCCTGGCGGAGCCGCTCCTCGCGCGCCTGCTGCGCCCGCAGCTCCGCCTCGCGCTGCCGCGCCGCCGCCTCGGCCTCGGCCTGCTGCTTGGCCTCGGCCTGCTCGCGCCGGAGCTGCTCCTCGCGCTCGCGCGCCTGGGCCTCGGCCGCGAGCTGCTGCTGCCGGATCTGCTCGCGCTCGCGCTCCTTCGCGGCCTCCGCCTCCCGGGCGACCTCGCGCTCGCGCTCGCGCTCGGCTTCGAGCTTCTCGAGCGCCTCCTTCGCCGCGAGGTCAACGCGCGGCGGGCCCGGCGTCGCGGCGACGGGCCGCGGCGGCGGCGGCGCGGGCTTCCGCGAGTTCATGAGCGCCGCGAGCGACTCCGCCGCCGCGGCGTCGTCCGTGCTCGCCGGCCGCGGCGGCGGCGGCGCGCCGCCGGATTTAGAGATGTCCTTGTTCGCCGGGCGCGGGACGTAGTAGCCTTTCTGCTCGCTGCGGATCGTCGCGCGGCGCAGGTGGGGGGCCGCCGGCCTCGTGAAGGCCGACGCCGCCGCGATCATCGCGAGGAAGATGGATTTGAAGGTGGCCATGCTCGCGCCGCTCTCTGCCGGCGACGAGCGCCGACGGTGAATCGCTCGTTGCCGCAAGGATGCCGCAGCTCGCCGCCGCACGCAGTCCGTCCTCTGACTTCGGCAGTGCGTCCCAGCCCTGCGACATGGCCGACCTCATGTCCGCCGTCGGCGGCTTCGCCATGCTCTGCCGCTGCGGCATCGAGAAATGCGTCACGCACGTGACGAGCGACATGGGCGACCGCGTCGTGCTGCCGCCGAGCGTCGAGCCCAAGCACTACGACGTGTCGCTGTCGCTGCGCCTCGAGGAGCACGCCTTCGACGGCGTCTGCGAGATCGTCGTCGACGTCAAGGAGCCCGTGAGCTCGATCACGGTGCACGCCAAGGAGCTGACCTTCGCGTCGGCGTCCGTCGACGGCGCGGCGGCCGTCAAGGTCACGGTCGACGAGGAGGCGACGACGGCGACGGCGCTGCTCATGGGCCCGCTCAAGGTCGGCGAGCACCGGCTCGCGTTCGTCTACTCCGGCGTGCTGAACAACCTCATGGCGGGCTTCTACCGGTCGACGTACACGGACATCGACGGCAACAAGAAGCTCATGGCGTCGACGCAGTTCGAGAGCATCGACGCGCGGCGCTGCTTCCCCGGCTGGGACGAGCCGCGGCGCAAGGCGACGTTCACGTGCGCGCTCCGGTGCCCGAGCCACATGACGGCGCTGAGCAACATGCCCGAGTCGCGGCGGAAGAACCACGGCGACGGCACGACGACGACGTCCTTCATGGAGTCGCCGCGCATGTCGACGTACCTGCTCTGCTTCGTCGTCGGCGAGTTCGACCACGTGTCGGCCGTGTCGAAGAACGGCGTCCTGATCCGCGCGTTCACGCCGCCGGGCAAGCCCGAGCTCGGCGAGTTCGCGCTCCGCTGCGCCGTCAAGTCGCTCGACGCCTACGACGAGACGTTCCAGATCCCCTACCCGCTGCCCAAGAGCGACATGGTCCGCGCCGGCGTCGCGAGCCGTGCTTCTTTCGCGCGAATCATCCCCGCGTAGGTCGCCATCCCCGAGTTCGCGGCCGGCGCGATGGAGAACTGGGGCCTCGTGACGTACCGCGAGGTCGACATGCTCGTGGACCTGAAGACGGCGTCGAGCCGCCAGCTCCAGCGCGTCGCCGAGGTCGTCATCCACGAGCTCGCGCACCAGTGGTTCGGCAACCTGGTGACGATGGAGTGGTGGGAGGACCTCTGGCTCAACGAGGGCTTCGCGACGTGGATGGAGACGGGCGCGCGTCCGCGGCGTCCGGTTCCGAGAGACCGACGAACCGTCGCGCCTCGCTTTTCGCCGACGGCGCCCGGCAGGTCTGCGCGGAGCTCTACCCCGAGTGGTCCATGTGGGAGCAGTTCATCACAGACATGCAGGGCCGCGCGCTGCAGCTCGACGCGCTCCGGTCGTCGCACCCGATCCAGGTGCCCATCAAGAACGCCGAGGAGGTCGAGCAGGTCTTCGACGCGATCTCCTACTGCAAGGGCGGGTCCGTGGTCCGCATGGTCCACGCCGTCGTCGGCGAGACGGACTTCGTCGGCGGCCTGCGCGCCTCAGCGTCCTGCGGCGATGACGATTTCGAGAGATTTTGGCCGGGGAAACGATGAACAACCGTCGTGCTCGGTAGGCGCGCCTACATGAAGGAGTTCCAGTACGGCAACGCGACGACGGACGACCTGTGGGCGGCGTGGGAGAAGGCGAGCGGCAAGCCCGTGCGCGACATGATGAACAACTGGACGAAGCAGACGGGGTTCCCGGTCCTGGAGCTCGAAAAGGTCGAGGCCGACGGGTCGCTCGCGGCGTCCCGCGGCCGCGACGATTTTCGAGAGATTCGGGGTGGGAACACAACGACATGCTTGGTAGGTCGCTCGTGCTGTCGCAGCGCCGCTTCTTCGCCGACGGCGCCGCGGACGACGCGGCCGCGACGTGGACCGTGCCGCTCTTCGCGGCGACGGCGGCGTCGGGCGAGACGTCGCTGGGCCTCATGCCCGGCAAGGCCGCGACCGTGGCCTTCGGCGGCGCCGCGGGCGCGCCCTACGTGAAGCTGAACGCGGGCCAGCACGCGCCGCTGCGCTGCAAGTACCCCGACGCGATGATGCCCGCGTTCGCCGAGGCCATCCGGCGCCGCGAGCTGCCGCCGGCGGACCGCATCGGCCTGCTGAGCGACGCCGCGGCGCTGTCGCGCGCCGGCGACCTCGACTTCGCGCTCTACCTCGAGATCCTCTTCGCCTTCGAGGGCGAGGACGACGCGACGGTCTGGTCGCAGGTCCTGGCGCAGCTCCTCGGCCTCATCAAGACGCTCCGCGGCGCCGACGACCGCTGCGCGGGCCTCTACGCGGCCTTCAAGAAGCTCGCGAGCGCGGCCCTCATCGCGCCGACGGTGGCCTCCGTGGGCTGGGACCCGAAGGACGAGGACGCGCACCTCACGAAGAAGCTCCGCGGCGAGGTCATCTCCGCGCTCCCGTCGTTCTGCGACGACGACGCGGCGGTGCTCGCCGAGGCGACCCGGCGCTTCGACCTCTTCAAGGCCGGCGACAAGGACGCGCTCCCCGCCGAGTACCAGTCCGCGGCCTACAAGCTCGTCCTCGCCGCGGACGCGGGCCGCTACGCCGAGGTCAAGGCGCTCTACGACTCGCTCCCGCTCAACGAGGAGCGCAAGTCGTGCCTCGTCGGCCTCGGCGCCGCGCCGACGCCCGAGCTCCGCGACGCGGCGCTGGACCTCGCCCTCTCGGAGGACGTCAAGCTCCAGGACTTCTTCTACGTCGCGCTCTCGATGCACGGCTCGTCCGTCGCCGCGCGCGACCACACGTGGGCCCACTTCCGCGAAAACTTCGCCAAGTACCAGGCGAAGATCGGCGACTCGGGCTCGTCCCTCATGGACGCCGTCGTCACGGGCGCCTGCTCGGGCTACTCGTCCGAGGCCGCGGCCGCCGAGATCGTCGCGTTCTTCGACGCGAACCCGCTCCCGCGCAACGAGCGCAAGATCAGCCAGACCGTCGAGGCCATCAAGTCCTCGGCCAAGTACGTCGAGACCATCCTCCAGTCCGACGCCCAGGCCTGGCTCGACGCGAAGCTGAAGGCGCGCTGAGGGGACCGCGTGGGAGATTGGGAGGCGTACGGTGCGGAGCCGAGGCAACGTTGGCTAAATCTTCGAATACTCATCTTTCGGAGCCTCGATCGTGCCGTCCGTGCTTGTATTGCTCGACGCCGTCCTCGTCCGCCGAGCCGCTGCTCGTCGCTCGTCGCCCGCGCCGACGCTCTCTCGCGCTCGGGAAGGGCTGCGGCGCGCCGACGCTCGCCGCGCGCCGCGCCCCGCGCCGTCGGCCGCGCCGCCCGCCGCGCCGCCGCCGACGAGAGCCATGGGCCGCGCGATGAGGACATTCGTCGTCGCCCTCGCGGCGCCCGGCGCCGGCGCGTCGCTCCTCCCCGGCGGGTCGACGTCGCGCGCCGCGGCGCCGGCGCCCGACGAGTTCTCGTCGACGTCCGCGGACGCGCCGCGGCCGAACATGCTTTTGACCGTCGTCGACGACTGGGGCTCGGGCGACGTGTCCTACAACGACGCCGCGCTGCACACGCCCGAGCTCCAGCGCATGAGCGAGCACGGCTTCGTGCTCGACAACTTCTACGCCGCGCCGACGTGCACGCCGTCGCGCGCGATGCTCATGACGGGCCGCTACAACATCCGGAACGGCATGCAGGACAGCGTCATCCACTCGACGGAGCCCCGGGGCGTGCCCCTCGACGAGCGCTTTTTATCCCAAAAACTGAGCGACGCGGGCTACCGCACGGCCGCGATCGGCAAGTGGCACCTGGGCATGCACCGCGACGCGTACACGCCGCTGAAGCGGGGCTTCGACCTCTTCTACGGCATCCTCACGGGCGGCGGCTCCCACACGGGCCACTTCTCCGTGTCCCAGCCCTTCACGGTGCGCGGCCAGAGCGAGACGACGATCTGGCAGGGCTACAACCTCTGGGAGAACGGCCAGGTCTCGCCGGACAACTACGGCACGACGCACAGCACGCACCTCTACACGGCCAAGGCCAAGGAGTACATCGAGGCCTTCGAGTCCGAGGACTTTAGCCTCGATTCCTTCTTCGCCGTGCCCGAGGTCGTCGACGCCAAGAAGGGCGACGCCAAGAAGGGCGACGCGAAGAAGGGCGACGACAAAAAGGGCGACGACAAAAAGGACGCGAAGAAGGACGACGCGAAGAAGGGCGGCGCCCACCGCCGCCTCGCCGCCTCGGGCAAGGCGCCGTGGTTCGTCTACCTGAGCTACCAGGCCGTCCACGACCCCGTGACCGTCGGGGACGACCGCTACGTCTCGGAGACGGCGTGCGCGAACGTCACGGAGGCGTCGCCCGCGTCGCGCCACGACAGCGCGATCTCGACGACGAACCGGCCGACGCTCTGCGGCATGATCGCGGAGATCGACGACGGGCTCAAGACCCTGCGCCTGAGTTTGGAGAACGCGCAGGCCTGGGCGCAGACGATCTTCGTCGTGCTCAGCGACAACGGCGGCGTCCGCGCGCACGGCTCCGCCAACTACCCGCTCCGGGGCGAGAAGGCCCAGTACTACGAGGGCGGCGTCAAGGTCCCCGCGGTGCTCGCGGGCGGCTACGTCGAGGAGGCGCTCCGCCGCGCGGGCGGCGCCGAGCGGCTCCGGTCCGCGTCGCTCGCGCACATCACGGACGTCCACGCGACGTTCCTGAGCCTCGCGGGCTACGAGGGCGGCGACGACGACAAGCCCCTCGACGGCGTGTCGCTCTTCTCCCACCTCGTGCAGAGCGCGTCGGGCGTCGCCGGCGCCGCGCCGCCGCGGTCCGACGTGCTCATCAACATCAACAGCGCGCTCTTCGCCGGCAGCGGCGCCATCCGCGTCGGCGACCACAAGCTCATGGTCAACCCCGAGCCCAACGAGTCGTCGATCTACAGCAAGGTCCGCAAGGCGCTCGCGGCCCAAAAGGGCGCCGTGCCCACGGACACGTTCCAGTCCATCGTCGCCCAGGCCCACAAGGACGCCCTCGGCGCGCCGTCCATCTCCCTCTTCGACCTGAAGAAGAACCCCTACGAGCGCACGGACTGCGCGACGTCGGACCCCGCGGAGTCGTGCAACCTCTACGACGTCGCGGCCTACGCGGACGTCCGCGCGGATCTCGAGCAGAAGTGGGCGTCCTGGCAGCAGGAGGCCCAGCCCTCGACCTTCGCCTGGGAGGACGACGGGCCCCTCGCGGACCCGGCGCTCTTCGGCTCCGTCTGGGCGCCGTGGCGCGACGGCGACGACACGCCCAAGGCCCACTACTTCGGGCTCCTCGCCATGGAGAAGGACGGCGACGCCGCCGACGCCGCCGCCGCGGACGACGCGAAGGACTTCGCGGCGCGCTACCAGGCGACGGAGAGCTCGCTCGCCGTCGACGCGCGCGCCGTCGCGGCCGCGCCCGCGGGCCTGTCCACGGGCCTCGTCGCGCTCGTCTCCTTCTTCGTCGGCGCCGTCCTCTCGAACAAGCTCATGGACCCGCGCAAGCGCGGCCGCGTCGAGCTGCCCTGAATTTTGACTCTCTCCCCGCTTCTTCGTTTTTTTAAAAGCAGCTTATTTTTCTACACAACGAGTACGCTGGCATCCTGAGACGGCCCGGGGGTCGCGCGTGTCGTTCGAACATGCCCGCTGTTGCATTGATGGCGGCGCGCACCACCGAGGCAGGCTTATGGCCGACGGAGGCTCGCATTCCGAGCCAGGCCCGGCGGACGAGCCCGCGCGCACACTGCAACGCATCGGCATCTTCGACTCCAGTGTCGGGCTGGAGACCCGCATCGATAGAGCCCGCCCGCGCCGCTGCCGCGACTCGACGTCCGTGCGCAGCGCGAAGGTCTCGTCGGCGCGTGCTAATTTCCGACGCTATGGACGCCGCGGCCGCGGCAAGGCAGGCGGTGAGGGACGATGACGTAGACGCGCTGCGCGCAGCAATCGCCGCGGGAGCGGATCCAAACGCATCGATTCACTCACACCAAAAAATTATTCCGTTGCTGGCGCTCGCCGCAGGGAAGGGACATCTCGGAATTTGCGAGCTGCTTGTGGCCTCGGGAGCGGATGTGAACGCTTTCTCACACCACACTGACGTATGCTCTGTCCCCGTGCTCTTCGGCGCAATAGGCGGCCGCTCCAGACATCCAGATGGCGCTCAGCTGGCCTGTGCCCGTCTGCTTCTAGATGCGGGCGCTGACCCCAACGCTTTAAGTACTCATCACTCTGAAGCAGAGCCAAATCTCATTGAGAACACCTCATGCGCACTGATCCAAGCGGTTTTACAATCAAATGACGGGACTGAGATGGTGCAGCTTCTCATCGATAAGGGTGCCATGACTGAACCAGAGAACGGTTTCGGGACCGCCCTCTTGAATGCTCTCGGTCTCGGCAAGCGCAAGACTGCGCTCATGTTGCTCCGCGCCGGCGCCGCCATGAAGGTGCTGTACCGCCGTGACATCACGGACACGAACGAGGCCCTGCACGACTTTCTAGCCGACGTCATCAGTAAAGGGGGCTGGGAACGGCACGTGCAGCGCCACCGCGACAGGCTCCTGGGCGTCATCTCGCACTGCGTCCGGCTTCCGCATGACGCCAAGGTCACCATCCTTGACTTTTGGTCGCCGCCGGGTGGTAGCTAGCTGGAGTTAATTCCACGGGCGCCGGGTTCAGAATATAGACCAGAGATTACTCAAAGCTCAGCGAGTACTTCTTGATCTCCGCGAGGATCACGTTCGTCGGCACGAGGTTCTTCGCGAAGGGCGGCGGCCGGCGCCAGGCCTTGCGGACGATCTCCTGGAAGCGCGTGTAGTAGAGGAGGAGCTGCGTGAGGACCTGCTTGAGGACCTCCATGCCGTTGACAAAATTCGCAAAGTAGGAGAGCACGTCCGAGTTGACCTGGAGGATCGCGTTCTTCCACGTCGCCGCGAAGTCGCGCGTGAGGCGCTCGACGAGGGGCGCGTCGAGGTTCAGGTCGCCCGTGCGGTCCGGCGTGCGCATCTCCGCCTCGGTCTGCTTCACGAAGCCGATCATCTTCGCGAAGCCCTCGGCGAGCGCGTCCTCGACGAAGAGCTCGCGCTGCCGCGCGAGCTCGGCCGTGAAGTGGGCGACGTTGTCGCCCGCCTCGAGGCCGCGCTCGAGGAAGATGGACAGGATCTGGTCGTAGTTGTTGATGAGGAAGACGACGCGGTCCTTGGGCTCGCGGAGCCGGCCGCCGAGGCGGCCGAGCAGGTCGCACGTCGACGCGCGGAGCCGCGCGGCGAACGCGTGGGCCTCCTTCGCCGCCGCGTCGCCGGCGCCGTTGTCGGGCGCCGCGGGCGGCGCGGGCAGCAGCGCGGCGACGGACGCGTGGAGCTCCGCGTAGCGCCGCGCGACGTAGTGCGGCAGCACGCCCGGCGGCCCGAGGTTCCGCGGGTCCGCCTTCGCGACGCTGTCCAGGTTCGCCGTGAGGATGGCGTCGAGCCGCGGCTTCAGCAGGCGCTCGCAGGACGCGAAGAAGCCGTCGAGCGCCGCGACGGCCGTCTCGGGCCGCTTCGCGGCGTCCGCGCGCGCGCGCCGCACGAGCCGCAGCACGAGCAGCAGGCCCACGACGTCGTGGCACGCGAAGAGCTTGTTCTCGAGGTGCTCCACCGTCGCCGACAGCGCCTTGGCGAAGATCTCCGCGACGGTCGCCTGCACGGCGTCGCTCCGGCCGCCGCCGTAGAGGAACGCGGACACGAACTGGAGCTCCGACGCGGCCGCGTCGGCCAGGTGGCGCAGCGAGCTCCGGAAGAGCTCCTCGAAGGGGTAGGACGCCTTCTCCGCGATGGCGACGTGCACGAGGATCGGCGGCGCGGCGAGCCGGTCGAGGACCCGCGCGCGGTCGCCGAGGCTGAAGCCGTCGCCGCGCTTCGTCAGCGACACGCGGCTCGTGAACTGGCTCCGCATGGCGTGCTCCTCGACGGCGACGACGTCGAACTTGTTCGCGACCTCGAGGTCGTGCTTGTCGAGCGCCGCGTGGTACGCGCGGAAGAGCGCGTGGAGCGTCTTCGCCATCGACTCGACGTACGTCGTCCGCACCTCCGCCGCGTGGTCCGGCGCGTGGCCCTCGAGGAAGCGGTAGAGGTAGGAGTACTTGGCCAGCTGCGTGCGCTGCAGGAGGTGGATGTTCGTCTGCGACGTCCGCAGCGCCTCGATCTTCTCGAGCAGGTAGTCGCGGCACCGGAGGCTCGCCTTCTGCTCGAGCTTGTCGTGCAGCGGCGCCGCGTCGCCGACGGCCCGGGCGCCGACGCAGGCCGCGCGCCAGCCCGCGTCGGCGCCGGCCTTGATCTCGCCGCCGCCGCGCGCGTAGCGCAGCGTCGAGTCCAGCGCCGTCACCGCCGACAGGAACCGCTCGTCCACGGGCCCGTCGCAGACCGCGACGGCGACGTCCGGCGACAGCGCGACGGCGGCGAGGAACGCGCCGAGCCGCGCCTCCGTCGCCCGCCGGTTCCGCAGCTTCACGGACATGCGCTTCGACTCCCTCTGGAGAGACCGGAGCTCGCGCGACGCGGACCCGAGGTCGAACTCGAAGCCGAGCAGCGTCTCCTGCATCTTCGCCAGGATGCCGTCGCAGCGCTGCATCTGCGCGTGCAGGTCCGCGACCTGCGACGACTGCTGCACGTAGTCCCGCACGCTCTCGACCTCGACCTCGCGCAGCTCGCGCTCCACTTTTTTCGAGTACTCGATCAACGTCGTGCCGCGCTTCAGCGCGTCGCTCACGAACGCGTCCGACTCGAGCATGGCCAGGTCCTGCTCCATCTCCGCCTGGTCCACGGCGGCGAGCGACTGGTCGGCCATCGGTGTCTTTATGCGCGCGCAGGCCGGCCGCCGGGCGCTGTCTGTGGATGTTGCGCGCGCTCTGGGCGCCTTGTCGAGCGCGCGCGACTTCCGACGCTTGCGCGGGTGGCTATGCGGTTCGCGCTGCGCTTGTGGGTGTGCGCCGCGACAGATGCGTGCGAACGCCGCTCGACGACGTCGACCGCGGCGGGCGCGACGACGCGTCGGTGGAGACGGCGCTGCTCGATCGCGGCACGATCACGCCACCGTCGCCGACGCCGGGCACCACCGCGGTTGCCGCACGATGGTCTCGCGACGAAACCGCAGCAGCAATCGCGTGCGCCGCGTCGCAGCGTTCGCGCTCGTCGCGCTTCCCGGCGCGCGCGCCTTCCGGCCGTCGCGGCTCCTGGCAAAGCAGCGCCTGCGAACGCATGCGCTGCAAGCGGAGGCCTTCGGCGCGCACGGCTCACAAGTGGACAAGCCCGTCGCCTTCCAGGGCGAGCACGGCGCCTACTCCGAGGAGGCGTGCTTCCAGCATTTCGGCGACACGGTGACGACGCTGCCGTGCGCGTCGTTCGAGGAGCTCTTCGCGGCCGTAGAAAGCGGCGAGGCGGCGTACGGCGTGCTGCCCATGGAGAACTCGCAGGCCGGGTCCATCAACAAGGCCTACGACCTGCTCATGGACTTCGACCTGCGCGTCCACGGCGAGACGATCCTCCGCGTGCAGCACTCGCTGCTCGCGCTGCCGCGGGGCCCGGACGACCCGCCGGCGGTCCGCGTCCGGAGCCACCCGCAGGCGCTGGCGCAGTGCGAGCGCTACATCAGCGCCAACGGCCTCACCATCGAGGCGGGCTCCGACACGGCGGGCAGCGCCAAGGAGATCGCGGCCGACGGCGAGCTCGAGGTCGCGGCGATCTGCTCCAAGTTCGCGGCCGCGCGCTACGGCCTCGAGGTGCTGGCCCTGGGCATCGAGGACTACAAGTTCAACTTCACGCGCTTCTTCATCCTCGCCAAGGGCGACGCGTCGCCGCCCCTCACGATCCCCAAGACGTCCGTCATCTTCGCCGTCGGCGACAAGCCCGGCGCGCTCTGCGCGGCGCTCGAGGAGTTCTCCAAGCGCAACGTCAACCTCGTCAAGCTCGAGTCGCGGCCGCGCCGCCGCACGGCCATGCCGGGCTTCAACTACATCTTCTACCTCGACTTCGAGGGCCACCACACCGACGAGCCCTGCCGCGACGCGATCGTCGGCCTCCTCTCGAGCTGCGCCTTCGTCAAGCTCCTCGGCTCCTACGACGCCGCGCCGCCCGTCGTCGAGCAGCTCGCCAACGCCGAGGACACCACGGTCGTCAACGACCCCTCCCTCATGCAGATCTAGGAGACGCGTAACGTTCGGACGAGCAGCGCCCGCATCGCCGCGGCGGGGTCGCCGGCGAGGCCGACCTCCCGCGCCGCGTACGGCGGCGCGCCGTCGGCCGTCACGGGCAGCGTCGCGTAGGGCGACCGCGTCGCGTTGGCGAGGTGCGCGTAGTACCGCGCGTGCGGATTCGGCAGGCCGAGCTCGAGCAGCGCGCACCGTGCGCAGAAGAGCGCGTTCGTGAGCCCCGCGCCGTGGACGCCGACGACCAACGCCGCGGGGCGAAAGAGCCGCAGCGTCGCCGCCGCGTCCGCGGGCGCCTCGTCGGAGAAGATCGTCGTCGCCAAATCGAACTCCGACGCGACGCGCTCCGCCGCGTCGAGGACCGCGCGCTCCGCGTCGGCCGCGAGCCGCCGCGTCGGCGCGCGCCGCCGGAGCACGACGACGACGGTCCTGCGCTCGGGAGGCCGGCCCGCGGCGCCGAGGGCCGCGCGGACGACGCGCAGCGCCGCGAAGGGCGGCAGGTGCCACGCCGCGACGTCGTCGTCGGGCCTCGCCGTCGCCCAGTCGACGAAGAGCAGCCGACCGACGGAGGCCCGCGCGGACGCGGCGCGCGCGAAGCGCCGCGGGACGACGTCGAGGCCTTCGACCCGGCCCATCTCGACGCCCGCGCGGCGCAGGAAGCCGTCGACGAACGCGTGGCGCGTCCGCGTGAGCGCGTCCCGCGGCACGAGCAGCGCGGCGTCGCGCGCGACGCGGCTGCCGAGGATCAATCGAGGCAGCAGATCGGTAATGAAGTGGTAGTAGCCCGCGCAGAGCGGCGTCGCGCCGAGCAGCGCCACCGGAAATTCGCGACGGTCGCGAAAGTACGTCTTCTCGTAGCGCCCGTCGCGAGCAAACAAGTTCGCTTCGAGGAACGTCTGGTCGCCGTGCCACGTTCGCAGCGGTCGGAGATCTCCGTGACGCAGCGCGACGCCGTCGTTGCCGACGACCCAGGCGCCGCGTTGCTCCCGGAGCACGACGCTCTTGCCGTCGGCGCCGCGCGCGAGCGCGCGCGTCCGGCTCCAGCGCGCCCAGCCGCCGGCTCGCGGGTGGACGGCCGCCCACCGCGCGAGCGTCGACGCCGCCGCGGCGCTGAAGTTCGCCGCGACGCGCGCGAGCGGCTCCTCGGTCACGAGCTCCGTCGCGCGCGCCCACTCGTAGAGCGCCGCGGCGTTTCGCGTATGCGCGGCCTCCGCGAAGGTCCGCCGCGCGTTCGCGACGTCGCCGGCGTAGGCGTAGGCCTTGCCGAGGTCCACGAGCGATCGCGACGCGGCGCGCCGCAGGAACGGTACCGCGGTCGCGTACTCGAAGACGTTGGCCAGCGCCGCGCCGACGCGCTGCGCCGCGTCGATGGGGAAGCGATCCGGCCGTGCGACGCAGTGCGCGGCCTCGAGCGCTGCGTCGCGCCGCTCGTCACCGCGCGCGCGCTGCGCGCGATCGAGCCAGCGATGCGCGCAGCGCTCGTCAGCGGCGCCGAGGCTCAGGAGCACCAGGAGCACTCGATGCGCCATGAAATCACAGCGCTGCATCGGCGAGCCAGACGACGCACCATAATTGAGGGCTCGGCTTTGAAGTCGTTGAACATCAAACAAAACGCTTTGGCAGCTCTCGTGCGACCGCCTTTCGCTCTCCGGCGGCGGCGGCCGTGGGGCAGCCCGGCCGACGGCCATGGTCGCGCAGCTGTGCCCGTCGAGCTGCCTCATCCTGTGCACGTCGACGATCCTGGAGCTGCTGCCGCCGCAGCACCTCGTCGACGCGGACATGGAGTGCCCGAGCTCCTGCGTGCACGCCTGCGTCGAGGCGAGCCGCGTCCACGAGCGGAGCGGCGGGAGCTTCGGCCAGTCGCTGAAGGACAACTTCGAGATGATCTCCATCATCGCGTCCGTGATCCTGGCGCTGCTGGGCCACTGGATCAACCGGCAGCGGGAGATGGAGAGCGAGCGGCGGCGGCTCCGGCTCGAGCGGCTCGACGCGCAGCTCCGGGACTACTTCGGCCCCATCGCCGCGAACCTCCTATCGTCCAAACTCGCCTTCAACACGCTCATGCGCACCTGGAGCCGCCACACGCACGCGAGCCCCGGGGAGACGCCCGCGGCCAAGTACTTCCGAGTGCTGCGCCGCGCGGAGAAGCTCGAGCACGCGAGCGGCGAGATCGAGGTCGAGTGGGTGCGCGACAGCTGGATCAGCTTCCACACGCAGATCGTCGGGCCCATCCACAAGCAGACCATGCACATCCTCCAGAGCAAGAGCCACCTCTACGACGGCTCGTACAGCACGCAGATGCTCCAGTTCATCGCGCACCAGATCGAGTACGACCTGCTGATGCTGCGCTGGGCCCAGGGCGAGTACAACATGCTCATCAACACCGTCGAGTTCCCCCAGGGCTTCGAGGCGACGGTGGCCAAGGAGATGGCGCGGCTCCGCGAGGAGCAGCAGGACCTCATCGTCGGCCGCGACCGCGACCACGAGAAGGACAGCGCGTGGCAGAAGGCGTCGGCGGCCATCTCCAAGGCCACGGCGGGCTCCGTGGACGCGGAGCGCCGCGCGTCCATCAACGCCAAGCACAACATCGAGCTCGTCTCCGCGGGCGACGGTCAGCCGCCCCAGGAGCGGTCGAAGGTGAGCCGGCTCTCGTCGCAGCTCCGCGCGTCCGCGCACGCGAACCCCATGCTCAAGGACGTCGCCAAGGGCATCCTGGGCCACACGGACGCGCTCAAGCACCTCCACAACCGCGAGTCGTCGCCGAGCGCGGCGCTCAAGTCGTCCGTGTCCGAGGCGCTCGAGGGCCTCGACCTCGGCGAGTCCGCCTTCGGCGAGGACGTCAACGGGTCGCCGGAGGCGCCGAAGAACGGCATCACGCGCCTCTTCCCCGCGGGCTCGGGCGAGAGCGAATGACGCCAGCGGGTGGCGGACCCCGGCCCCGTCACCCCGTTCCGGGGGCCCACGTCGCCCGACGCGCCGGCGACGGTCTCGCTCCCGACGAGCCCCCTCGAGGGCGCCGCCGCCGACCCCCTCGGCGCGCTCCTCAAGGCCCAGGAGACCCAGCCCAACGCGCGCAAGGCCGCGACCTGCTGCGGCCCCTGGAAGGCCTGAGTCGACCCGAGGCGCGACCCATGACGAAGTCCATGACGGGCCCCTCCCGGCCCCGAAACACCTCCGCGCCGCCGCTGCCGCCGCTTGTACCGCCGGCAGTCGGCCTCTTCTTTCTGCGCGCGCTAGCTCACTAACATGCGCACAATACGTTACTTCTCTCGCGCGATGCTCGCGTCCGGCAGGAGGCTCTTCGGGATGATGCTCACGGTCGGCGGCCGGTCCTCGCCGTACTCGACGGTGCTGCCGAGGCGCAGCGGCGAGCTCCAGCCCAGGTAGCCCTTGGACGACGACACGCTGCCGCTGAGCCCGTCCTCGCGGTCCGTCTGGCCGCAGTAGTCCTCGCACTGCACGCCGCAGTACGCGTCGTTCTTGCCGCCGGAGACGCGGTTGCAATTCGTCGTGCAGTCCTTGATGCAGTCCGCGCCGGCCAGCGCTTGAGTTGGTATGGAAAGGAGTGCGCCGATGATGGCGTGTCGGCGTGTGTGGGTACGATGGCGTGATGGCGTGTCGGCTGCGTCGAGGTGCGACCGATGTTGTATTTCGGCGATTTGCGGTCGTTTTTGCGGCGCGGCAAGCGTCGATAGGCGTGGCGCGACATCTGTGCGATGGTTCCACGCGTGTGCGACGACCACGCAGCTCAATAGAAGCATGAATCGAGCTGCCATCGTGTCGAGCGCGCCGCGGCAAGGCTCAAGTTGCAGCAAGGTTGCCGTTCTCTGCGGCGAAATTGCAGCACTCTCGTGACCTCACCGAGCGCGTCGTCGGCGCCGCGGCCCAGGGCGCTTCGAGCCGCACCAGGGGGCCTCCGAGACGAATACAAAATAATATCATGAACAACGACGACATTTTGTCCATGTTCGACCCCGTGCGAGCCTCGCCAGCTCGCGCGCAACCGAACCTCCCGCAATCCGACGAGCAGCAGTTCGCGAGCCTCTGCGGCGTGGACCTCGCGACGGCCGCCGTCCACATCAACGCCGCGCGCGCGCGCGGCGCGGGCCTCGAGGAGGCCGTCGACGCGTTCTACTCGAACGGCGGCGCGCACGTGCGGCCGGACCCGGCGCCGCCGGCGCCGCGGCCCGCGTCGCGGTCCGACGCCGAGGTCGACGCGGACGCGGCGTTCGCGCGCGCGCTCGCCGAGGAGGACAAGGACCGGTCCGGGCGGACGCACGCGATCGACGAGATCGTGCGCCAGCTCGAGGACATGGGCTTCGGCAAGGCGATGGCGCTCGACGCGGCCCAGGAGTGCAAGACGCTCGAGGACGCGACGCACTTCTGCCTCAACGGCGGCGTCGCGCCGTCGACCATGGCGGCGGCGCCCCAGGCCATGCCCGTCGCCGTCGCCGTGCCCGACGGCGCGCCGCCGCGCGCGCCCGACGGGCCGGACCCGGCGGCGTGCGCGCGCGTGCTCAAGGTCGGCCGGCTCTACAAGCTGTCGCGCGCGAACAGCCTGCGGGGCGCGCGCTGGCAGAAGCGGACCTTCGCGCTGCGGAACTGCGAGCTCGGCTACGGCCCGAACGACGCCGCGGCGCAGTCGGGCGAGGCGATGAAGGGCGTGCCCATCTGGGGCTGCTACGCGCTCAAGGAGCCGCCGCACCAGGGCAAGGACCACGTCTTCGCCGTCTACAGCGGCGCCGACGGCGGGCCCGGCGCGCCGCGCGCGACCCTGGCCATGCTCGCGGCCGACGACGCCGCGACGTGCGCCGAGTGGCTCCGCGCGGTCTACGCGGCGTCGGGCCGCACGGGCATGCTCCTGCGCGTCGGCGACGACGCCGTCGCGTCGACGCTGCTGTGCGTCTGCGCGGCGGAGCCCGGCGACGTGTCGGCGAACTTCGAGGCCGGGGGCAACGCGACGGGCAAAGTCGTCGTGAGCCGGTGCGCGGGCGGCCTCGCGCGCGTCGGCGTCCGCGTCGGCGACGAGCTCACGGCGCTCGACGGGAACCCGCTGCCCTACATGGAGGCCGCGCCCCTGGGCCGCCTCCTGGCGACGGCGCGGCGGCCCTTCGAGCTCACGATCCGCCGGCCGCGCAACGCGCCGTCGGCCGGCGGCGCCGCGCCGCGCGCGCGGCCCGTCGCCGCGCCCCAGGAGTCGGAGATCGACCTGCTCGGCCTCGACACGCCGACGGTCGTCGAGCCCGTGCGGAGCTTCGACTTCGACGCCGCCGCCGCCGCGCCGCCGCCGCCGCCCGCGCCGCCGCTCTCGCCGCCCGCGGCCGCGGCGCCGGACCCCGTCGTCGGCCTCGTCGCCAAGGCCCTCGACCACGACGCGCGCGGCGGCGCGGCCAAGGCCCGCGGCGACGCGCGGTCCGCCCTCGCCGAGTACCGCGCCGTCGTCGACACGCTCCTCGAGGCCCAGCCCCTCTACGCCGCGGACGCGGCGACCCGCGAGCGCGTCGCCGCGCGCTTCCCGGGCGTCTCGCTCGCCGCGCTCTACGACGCCGCCGTCGCCAACGTCCGCGACGCCGAGGCCAAGGCCGCCGCGGCCGCCGCGCCGCCGCCGCCGCGCGCGCCGGAGCCCTACGCGTCGCCGCCGCCGCAGCAACAGTACGCGCCGGCGCCGCCGCAGCACCAGTACGCGCCGCAGCAGCAACCGCCGCCGCCCCAGCACGTCGACCCCTTCGCGGAGCTCCCGCCCGCCGCGGCGCCGCCGGTCGTGGCGCCGCCGCCGGTCGTCGCGGCGCCGCCGGTCGTGGCGCCGCCGCCGGCGGAGCTGCCGCCGCCGGACCCCTTCGCGGGCGTCCCGGCGCGGCAGGAGGCCTACGACGACGCGCCGCCGCCCGCGTCGCCGCCGCCGCCGCCGCCGGCGGTCGAGGAGGCGCCGTCGGCGCCCGCGTCGCCGACGAACCACCGGCCGTGCATGGCGGCCTTCGAGTTCGTCGCCGGCGAGGCGTGGCAGCTCTCCGTCGGCGCCGACGAGGACCTCCTCCTCATCGAGACCCACGCCGACGGCTGGTCCGACGTCGTCAAGGCCGACGGCGCCCGGGGCATGGTGCCCGCGAGCTACATCGTGCCCAAGTGAGCGGCGCCCACCGGAATCACATGTATGTCGGAGTAATAGAGTAAGGTGAGTCGCAACTGGTGCCGCAGGCTCCCGAGCCTCGCGATCGTGCAGGGCCGGCCCGGCCGCGGCGTCTTGTCCAGTCGACTCATCCGGAAAAGTTGCCTTTCATGATGGCAGCCCATTAGACGACGACGATGTACCAGGACCGCATCGCCTTCGATCCGCAGCGGCGGCCGACGACGCCGCTGACGCGCTACGAATGGATGCAATGCATCGGCCGCAAAGGCGCGCTGTGCCGGCGCGAGCGCGCGCTCGACTCGCCCAAGGTCTGCGAGATCCGGCCCAACAAGGTCGTCAGAAAGGTGAACATGGGCAGCGCGCACAAGAAGGACGGGTCGACGGAGCGCCGGCTCCGCGTGCTGATCCCCGGCGACGACCGCGTCCGCGAGGGCTGGGTGTCGGCCAAGCTCTTCGTCGCGTGCGGCGCGGACGAGGCCGCGCGCATGGACACGCTCCACGTGCGCGGCCGCGGCGACGCGAGCCCGTTCCGCGCGCCGCCGGCGGCCGTCGCCAAGGAGATCCTCGACGAGGCGCGCACGTCCAGGAGACCGCGGCCCGACCCGGGCTACGTGCACGTGTCGCCGACGGCGGCGCGCGACCTCGGGCTCGAGATGCCGCCGCTGCCGCGGCGCGACGTCGCGCAGCTGCGGCGCCTGCCCTTCCTCGTGTCCGTCCTCGTGCCGACGTCCCCGAACCGGCGCTGGGCGCACCGGTCCCTCTACGAGTGCTTCGCGCGCCAGCACTGGCCCCACAAGGAGCTCGTCGTGCTGGAGACGGGCGACGACCCGAGCCGCTTCGCGGGGTCCTGGCGCGCGTGGATGGACGACGACGGCTTCGGCGGCGGCGGGCCCTGGGAGCAGCGCGCGCGGAGCGCCGACGGCGCGCGCGTCGAGGCCTCCGAGTTCTGGACGCTCCTCGACGACGACCGCGTGACCTACGTCTACGAGCGCGACGACGCGGAGCTCGGCCCGAAGCGCAACGCGCTCGGCGCCATGGCCCGCGGCGAGATCCTTGTCCAGTTCGACGACGACGACGTCTACCTGCCCCACTACCTCGACGCCATGGTCCACGCGCTCCTCCTCGACGACGTCGGCGCCGGCGTCTCGCGCGCTTCGGTCCGCGCGAACCCGCGACCGCAGGTCAACGCGGCGTCGGCCTTCGACCCGACGGTCTCCGACGACCTCGACGAGGATGCCCTCGTGGAGCGCGTCAAGGAGCGCGGACGCGGCGTCCTTGATTTTTCGGGAAACGACGGTTTGTCAAAAAATCCCCTTTTTTTTCGGGAAGGATCGTCTATCCGCAGGCCGCGGCTCGCGAAGCTCGCGCAGTTCGTGTGCTACAACGCGAAGCAGGGCACGCTCCAGCTCTGCGACATGCGCCCGCCGGAGCATGGCGCGCGCCGCACGCACCGCGGCAAGGCCCTCGACGCCTTCGTCATCGCCGACGACTACCATTCGCGCTTCTGGGGCTACGGCTTCTCCTACGCGCGCGCCCCGCGCGCCGCGGAACGTTCCTTCGGCGACGGCGCCCCCGCTAGGTCTACACGGCAGCGTTCCTCAAGCTCGCCCAGTTCGCGCACATCACCTTCGGCGAGGACTACCAGCTCGTCTGCGAGGCCGCGGGCCGCGGCGCGTCGTGCCGCGCGTTCGCGGACGACTCGCGGGACCCGGCCGTGCTCCACGTGCTCCACAACGAGAGCAGCACGCACACGCCGACGACGGCCATCGTCTCCCTCGCGTCGGAGTGCCGCCGGAGGTACGGCCAGGAGCTCGCCCTCCTCTTCGGCGACAACCTCCCCACGACCGTGCCCCACAGCTTCGACCCCTTCAGCGCCTTCAATCGGATGGACTATGGTTGATACTAATAAGCACCAGTGTAGATTCTAGTACTCGAAGAGATACCGTTCGGCCATCCACTCGGATACGCTTCCGATCGTGCGTCGCTACCAGTGCTTGTGAGCTTGTGGTAAAATCAGCTGCCTCAAGCGGCGCGACGACTGTTGGCCTTAGGGCAGTGCCCGTCGACACCGGGGCCCCGCTCCGCAGCGCCACCGCGCCGCCTCCGTCGTCAGTGACCGCTGGTCCGTCGGCAGCCCCGCCGTGATGGCCGAGATTAACGTGGCCGACTTCGAGCCGACCGATGAGAACGACGTCGGGATGAAGGCCTTCTTCGCGAAGCAAATGTCGACCATGCTCCTGAAGCAGGCGGAGGAGTATCTCGCGCACTCCAACATGTGGGCCAAGGCGGCGGGCATCCCGCCGACCCTCACGATCGGCGGCGAGCCCCAGCCGCTGAAGCGGAAGCGCGGCGTCAAGAAGGAGGTCGACGCGCGTTCTCGGCGCCCCGCGAAACACACGCCCACTCACCCATCCGTCCCCGCGCAGCCGAACAAGCCCACGTACAACCCGACGGGCTACATGATGTTCGCCAAGCACATCCGGGATACGGAGGGCGCGCGGCGGCGTCCCGAACGACGACGTTTCGAGCTGGAAACGCGTCGTCGTAGGCGAGGAGCTGCCCAAGGGCAAGGAGGCCATGAGCCACATCGGCAAGCTGTGGAAGGATCTCGAGAAGGACGAATTGAAGGAGTGGGAGGCGAAGGCGGCGCCCGGCCGCGAGCAGTACAAGGTGGCGCTCGCCGAGTACCGCCGCAACAAGGCCGAGAGCATGGACGAGACCAAGTCCGTCGTCGCGGCCGAGCCGCCGAAGAAGAAGGACGACTCCGACTCCGAGGAGGAGGAGGAGGCGCCGGCGGAGAAGGACGACTCCTCCGACGACGACGAGCCCATCAAGAAGGCGAAGAAGGCCGACTCGTCCGACGACTCCGACTCCGACGAGGAGCCCAAGAAGAAGAAGGCGAAGAAGGCCGACTCGTCCGACTCGTCCGACTCCGACGAGGAGCCCAAGAAGAAGGCGAAGAAGGCCGACTCGTCCGACTCCGACGACTCCGACGACGAGTCCGAGACGCAGCCGCCGCCCAAGGCCAAGGCGCCCAAGGCCAAGCCCGCCCCGCCGCCGGCCGCGCCGGTCGCGGAGCCGCCGAGCGCCAAGAAGAAGAAGAAGAAGCGCAAGTCCTCGGACGCCGACGACCAGCCCGCGCCCGCGCCCGAGCCCGAGCCGGTCGCCGCCTCCGAGAAGAAGAAGAAGAAGAAGAAGAAGAAGAAGAGCACGGGGCCCGACCAGTGAGCGGCGACCGCCGCCCGCCGAGGCCGCTCCCGCGCGCGCCGCGCGCCCAGCGAGTGAGCGGCGACCGCCGCCCGCCGAGGCCGCTCCCGCGCGCGCCGCCCGCCGCCTGTTTCCCATTCCGCGCCGGGCCGTTTTTCTCCCCCGACCCCGACCGGCGCGCGAGCGCCGCTGTCCCCTTCCCCCCGGTAACCCGAGTCGCGCCGCGCGCCGACCTAGGGGTCGGACATGGCGGCGAGGCGCGCGTGGGCCTGGGAGAGCGTCTCCGCGACGACGCGCTTCTCCGGCAGGGGCCCGCGGTTCGCGACGAAGTCCGCGCGGTGGCGGAGGATGAAGTCGAGGTGCTTCGCCTCGCGGAAGGCGTCGAGGGCGGCGGCCATCTGGCCCTGGGCGCGGAGCTTGATGGCCTCGACGCGGTGGTCGTTGCGGCCGAGGACGATGACCTCGAGGTAGCGCTTCTCGAGCGCCTCGACGTCCGCGGGCGCCGCGCCCGCGTTCACCGCGGCCTCGATCTTCTCCTCGCAGGAGCGGATCTGCGTGAGGCGCACGGAGAGCGCGAAGTGGCCCGCCGTGAGGGACACGGGCTTGGGCCGGTAGTAGTAGGGCGCGTCGTCGCGCGGCTTGTGCTGCGCGGTCCGCGGCGCGAGCACGCGCGCGCCCGTCGGCGACACGCGGAGCGCCGCGAGGTGCGCGCGGAGGCCGCCGTCGTCGTCCTCCGCCGGCGCCGGCGCCGGCGCGGCGGCGTCGACGGGCTCGCCGAAGAAGGCCCGGGGCGGCGTCGGCGACGCCAGGTCCATGGAGCCCGCGACGCCGAGCGGCGGCGGCGACCCGAGGAGCTGGGCCCAGTCCGTCGAGTCGCCCAGGAGGGACTTGGCCTGCGTCGACTGGGCGCCCAGGGACGCGCCGAGGATGGAGCCGAGGCGCAGCAGGCGCTCGAAGTCGTCGCGGTGGATGCCGCGGCCCGGGCTCACCTTCGCGGCCGCGAAGACGTCCGCGACGACCTCGGCGTCGAAGCCGTGGCTCTGCAAGGACTCGGCCGTGATCGTCTCCGTGCCCGCGGCGTCGACGCCGTCCAGGAACTCGTGGAACATCTTGTCGACGCGGTCCTCGCGGAGGTACGCGCACCGGTGCATCGACGCGACGACGAACGCGTGGTACGAGATGCGGTGGTCGTCCTCGAGGTCGCAGGCCTCGACGATGGCCTCGACCTCGAGGGCCGCGCCGCGCAGGGGCGCGCCGGCGAGCTCGAGGTGGGCGAGGAGCGCCGTCAGGTCGCCGCAGGTCACGAAGCCGTCGCCGTCGACGTCGAGCGCCGCGAACTCCTTCCGCAGCGAATCGAGCTCGCCCATGGTGAGCGTCTCCGCGAGGGCGTTGTAGACGCGCTTGTGGAAGAAGGTCGCGCGCGCGTAGCGCGCCAGGGACGTGAGCGCGGCCGCGCCGAGGGGCGCGGGCACCTCCGCGGCGACGCCGTCGCGCGTGATCCACGCGTGCTCGAGCGCCCGGGCCGCCGTGAGCCGCGCGCGCGCGTCGACGCGCATGAGGCCCTTGACGAGGTCCAGCACCGCCGCCGACGCCCGGGGCCAGGGCCCGAAGTCGAGCGCGTAGTCGCCCTTGAGCACGCGCGCGGTCAGCTCGTTGAGGTCGACGCCGTTGCGCTTCCGCTTCTTCCGCCCCGGCTCGTCGTCGGGCGGCGCGAAGGGCGGCCGCCCGCAGAGGAGGAAGTAGAGGATGACGCCGCAGCTCCACAAATCGCAGGCCTCGCCGTAGCCCGCGGCCTGGCGCGAGATGACCTGTGACGATTTTCTTCGTTTTCCGGTCAAAAGCTCTCGAAACTCGTGACGCCGGAGACGACCTCGGGCGCCATGTAGTAGGGCGTGCCCGCCAGCCGGTGGAGCTCGTGCTGGCCGTCGGCGCGGTAGATGCACGAGAGGCCAAAGTCGATGACCTTGATCACCGGCGGGCCCTCGGCGTCCACGAGCATCACGTTCTCCGGCTTGAGGTCCCGGTGGACGACGCCGACGGCGTGGCACGCGTCGACGGCGCTCAGGAGCTGGCCGAGGATCCGCCGGCTCGCGAGCTCGCTCAGCGCGCCGCCCTCGCGCATGAGCAGATGTAACAAGTCGCCGCCGCCGCAGAGCTCGCTCACGATCCAGGCGTGGTTGTGGTACTCGTAGACGTCCTCGATCTTCAGGATGTGCCTGCGCGGGAGCAAACACTTTCATCTCGGTGAGTCTTTTTGGCGAGTCGCTTTCTCTCATCGAGGTCAGGTTGAATTTGTTTCCTGCTCGGGGACGTGCGCGTGGTCGAGGCGCCGCATGATCTCGACCTCGCGCCGCACCGTGAGCGCGTCGCGGACGTGGCGCTTCGAGAGCTGCTTGCAGGCGAACTTGACGCCGTCGCTGAGGCGCAGGCACTCGTAGACGCGCCCGAAGTGGCCCGCGCCGATCTCCGCGTGGAGCTCGTAGTCCTCGTTGATGTCCGCGCGCCGCGCGCCGCCCGAGAAGATGGACCCCGGCGCGCTCCGCGCCGAGTCGTCGTCGGACACGACCTTCTTCGAGCTGGCGTCGCTCTGCTTGGAATCGCCGCCCGCGACGACCTTGGAGCTCGCCGCGCTCTTCACCGTGGGCGTCCCCTCGGAGTTGATGGGGCTCAGCCCCTCGGCGGCCAGATCGAAAACGACGTCGCGCGGCTCGGCGTCGCCGCCGCTCTCCATGGTGTCGAAGGCGCCGGCGAAGACGCCGCAGTCGAAGCTCATGTTCGTGTCCATCTCGCCGAGGCCGCAGTCCATCATTTTAGAGGGCTGTGCAATGCTAGTTGTTGGCGTCCATGCGCGACGCGGGCTGCCTCGTGGATGGTGAGGTCGTACTTGCTCGAGGATTGTCTGCCCTGGACGTCTTTGTGCGGGTTTTTGCCAAGAGGACGCGCTCGCGCTGTTCACCTCGAAGCGGTCCACGCACGTGCCAAAAAAACTTGTCGAGGCCACCAGGAGCCTATCGCGTGCTCGAGGAACGAGAAACAGCTGCTCTACGCTGCCACATGCTGGCCTCCGCGAGCCCGCTGCTGCGCCGCGGCGCCGCCGCCGGCGCCGCGCTCGTCGCGGCGGCCGCCTACACGGGCAACGAGTACCGCGAGTGGCTGGCCCTGCGCGACGACGCCGTCGTCGCCGAGAAGGACCTGCCGCCGACGCGCGTCGCGCAGCGGAGCCGCGTCGTCTCCGCGCCCGGCGCGCTGTCGGCCGCGGCGCTCGCCAAGATCGAGGCCTGGCACCGGGACCACGAGCGGTCCCTGGGCTCGACGGGGCGCACGGAGTCCAACGGGTCCGCGGCGTTCAAGACGGGCGCGTGGGAGACCAGTTTTTTGCACACCGGCGGCCTTTTCCACCGCGACTGCTCCGACGTGCTCGAGACCCTGAAAGCCGCCGTGCTCCGCGCCGACGCGGCCACGCAGCAGCCCCTGCTCGCGCAGAACGGCGGGCCTATCGACGCCGGCGAGCTCCAGCCGCGGACGATCGAGCGCCACACGGTCCGGCCCGGCGGCTCGCTGCCGTACCCGGAGCACCACGACGCGGGCAGCGTCTACACCATCGACGTGCTGCTCGTCGACCCGGACGAGTTCGGCGGCGGCGACTTCTCGACGCTCGAGGCCGACGGGACCATGCGGGAGCACCGCTTCGGCGCGGCGGGCGACGCGTTCGTGTTCCAGAGCCACAAGTACCACTGCGTCGCGCCCGTGACGCGCGGCGAGCGGCGGGTACTCGTCGTCGAGTTCTGGATCGGCGAGGCGCGGACCTGCGCGCACCGGTGCGAGCACCACTTCGCGCCCTGCGACTACACGGCGACGGAGTCCTTCTGGCGCCGCGCGCTCGCGAACATCGCCGGAGGCACCGTCGGCGGGGGCGATTTTTAATCCCCGGTCTTTTCCGGCGCTTTTAGCGATGCGTCCTAGAGGTAGGGCCCGATGATGGCCTTGATCTCGCGCGGCACCGAGTCCGGGACGCAGTCGCCGAGGAGCGCGGCGACGACCAGCGCGGCCTTGCGCTTGGCGGCGATGCCCGCGTTGCGCACGAGCCACCGCTCGTTGACGTCGCCGCCTCGCGCGAGCTGGACGAGCGCCTCGAGGCCGACGGCTGCCGCGATCGCGACCGCGTTGGCGTCGTTGGTGTACGCGAGGTTGCGCAGCGCCCACGCGGCGGTTGGTTTCGCATTCCCGGGCCCGTTGCGGAAGAGCTCGACGAGCGGCGGAATGGCGCCGGCCTCGGCGATCAGGACCGTGTTGTTTTCGACGTACGCGAGGCTCCACAGCACCTGCACGGCCAACTGTTTGGCCCACGCGCTCCCGTCGCGCAGGAGCTCGACGAGCGGCGCGATGCCGCCGGCCTCGGCGATCGCGACCTTGTTGGCGACGTTGCCGCACGCGAGGCTGTCCAGCGCCAGCGCCGCCACCGACTTCGCTGCGTCGTCGCCCTCGCGCAAGGCGCGGACCAGCCCCTCGATCTCCGCCATGCTTGACCCCTTGACTAACGCCGACGTTTCCTTCAACCTGCAATAAATCTTGCAGTTCATGTGTAGCCCGGGGCCATGGTACCGGTGTCAGGCCACCGGTGTCAGGCCATGGAATGCCGTCCCGTGATGATGGAATTCCTTCTAATTAGCCAGTGCCGGGTACGGATATCGGCGCCCCGGGGTTGGTCGAGCGGGCGAGAGCGAGCAATAGTGCGAGGTCGAGTATGTTCAGAGAGTATGTGCAGGGCGTGTTCAGGGTAGTATGTTCAGAGGTGGATGTGCGCGACGGTCTCGGAGACCGCGTGGGCCGCGTCCGCGAGCCCCGCGTTGAGGACGAGGAAGCCCGCGCCGGAGCCGAGCGCGGAGACGCCGACGCGGCCGCCCGGGAGGATCTCCTCCGGCTCCGCGTCGCCGTCGTAGCGGTGCCGCCACGCGAGGAGGCAGGGCAGCAGGCCGAAGAGGAACGGGTTCGCGATGCCGCCCGTCATCGAGAGCAGCGGCAGGAAGACGTCGCGGCCCGAGAGCGCGAGCAGGAGCGGCGGCGCGAAGGTCCAGGCCGCGTTGAGCGCGTCGTCGTCCTTGCGGTAGCCGCGGACCTCCTCGCTCTGGCTCACGGCGGCGCCGACGAAGGACGTCGTCACGGCGGCCACGGAGAAGACGGAGAGGGCCGCCGCCGCCGCGGGCCGCAGGTCCTCGGGGAGCCCGCGCGCCGCGTCGATGAGCTCGCCCGCGGCCGCGCCGCCGCCGCCGCGGCCGAGCACGGACGCCGTGAAGGCCACGTAGGCGAAGAGCGGCGCCGCGGACCCGAGGACGACGGCCTCGCGGATCTTCGCGCTGTCGCCGTCGAAGCCCTTGGCGATGACGGGCACGACGTTCTGGAAGACGAGCGAGCTCACGAGCACGGGCGCGGCGGACGCGAGCGCGCCCCCGAGCTCCTCCGGCGGCGCGCTCTGGAGCAGGTGGCCGACGTCCACGGATGGCGCCGCGACGGCGAGGAGCGCGACGAGCGCGCCCGTCATGACGACGACGAGCGCGTTGTTCGCCGGCTCCATGACGGCGGGGAACGCGACGAGCGCGGCCGTGAGCGCCGCGTAGGCGACGCGCGGCGCGACGAAGTCGTCGGAGAGGCCCGCGAAGAGCGTGTCGCCGCCAAGGGCGATGTAGGCGCCCATGAGCAGCACGTTCGTCCCCGCGAAGAGGGCCGAGGTCAGCGAGGAGCCGCTCTCGCCCAGCGCGTTCCGGGAGAGCGTGCGGAGGGAGACGTCGTCTTCGCCGTCGCGGATCGCGGCGGCCGCGACCTCGCCGAGGAGGAGACCAGTGCCGACGTTGGCCGTCCAGAGCGCGAAGAGGAGCGCGGAGGACGGGACGAAGCCGGCGGCCGAGGAGACGGTGGGGATGGCTAGGATGCCGCCGCCCACCATGTTCCCGGCGACGAGGGACGCGGCCCCGACGACGCTCAAGGAGGCGGGGAGGGGCTCGAGGAGGGCGCGATCAGCAACTGTGTCCTCGATTGGTGCGCTCAGCCGCGACGATGGCGTTTTCACTCGGGATTTTTGCGCGGGAGCGAGGGCGCACACATGGGCGGCCCCGAGAAGAAGGCATAGGAGCCCAGGGAGGCCCCTGGACTGCAGACCCATAGCGGAAACAGCAAAATTCCTTCGGCCAGCGCGACAATCCTTCGTGGCGCGGCGGTGCAACACGATTTTCAACGGCCACATTTTTCCCCCGAAGCGCACTGCCGGCTAAGCTAAAGTTAACCGGTTCAAAGAGCAGCGAAGCCGTGAAGTTTTGACGTCACGGCTTTGCCTCGCTCCGGGCTCGGACGCGCGATGCAGCGGTTCCAAGACTTGGCGCGGCGCTCGGTCTGTGGACCATGTCGCGCCTTGGGCCCGGCTGTGAGTCGCTCGGGAAAGACCATCGGTCGAAGGCGAGCAACTTAGTTCGCGTCGGGGCAGCCCGTGGATGACGAGAACGGCCATTAACGGTGGGGGGCGACCGACGAGGGGCCCAACTTAGTTCCAGGGGGCGTTTGGGCTGTTAGACTTCGAAGAGACCCCCCCTGGAATGATGTTCCCGAGGGCACTGTCTCGGTTCTAACAGCCCAAACGCCTCATGCATTGCGCGGTGAGCACCGTGTCACCCGCGGCGCCGCACGCCTCCCGGA